CCCACACCCACACCCACACCCACACCCACACCCACACCCACACCCACCCACACCCTCAAGATAAAAAATGATGAGATTTATTGATTTTGCTTAGTCTGATATATGCAAAAAACATGTTCATCTCTCTCCTAAAAAAAATATATTTATACATTGTTCAAATGACTCACCATCATGTCTACAGATAGCTGATAATCGGTACTACATTTTTTGTTCCAAAACTAAGTCGAAATTTTGTAGTATGGACGCCGCGTATCGATTTTTCTGTGATCTGCTCTATTTCCATGCATTTTACTTGAATTGACCAAATTAGGACGAAAAAATAGCTGTAGTGATCGAATTAGGAAAAACGTCCTAATTTGAGCGTAGAAACACATTGGAAAAAAGATTGAAAACAAAGACAAATTTTTTTAAAAAATTGGCCAAAAGATAGAGAATGATCTGACGAATCTAATGATGTCCTTTATTTATCGAAACAAAAACTTTTTCTAATCAAAAAACTTTTTTTCTGAGCAGGTCTATCGAATCCCATGTATTGCTCGAATTAGGACAAAAAAATAGCTGGAGTGATCGTATAAGGAAAATGACAAAATAGGGAAAAGTGAAAATTACTAATTTTTGTAATTATGATTACTCATTGAAGACAAATTAATTTTTGAAAAAAAAATTGGCCAAAATGTTCAGCGTCGATCACTCTATCCCGGAAAAAAAGAATGAGCTCGAACGGATGTCGCTGAACAAAATTATAAATTTTTTTCTAAAATCCATTAAAAGTTGCGCTCAAATTTGGGCGGGGTACTCTAAATAAAGCAGTATGAATACCACAAAGCAGATGTTTTTTTTTATAAATTAAGTTGCTTTCTTCGACATCTTCGCCAACAGATTTTTTCCAGAATGATTGCTTATTGTTGTTAAAGTATATTAGTATATTAAATTGAAAAACTTAAACAAAATCTTGGTAGTTTTATTTCATTTAATAGTTTTTTTATTAGGCTTCGAAACTGGTATTTCATTTGGAATAGAAATTGATCCAACAATACAAAATATTTCATATTTATAAAAAGATATTTGTGAATAAGAACCTTTTTTTCCATGGGAACTATTTTTTCGAGTTATTCAAATTAATAAATAAAATGACTTTTATCGTGTTAGATTAATTTTAACGAATTATGCAATTAATACATCTCATTTATTGTTAAGATAAATATATCAATTAGGACAATTTGAAAGTGTTGATCGTTTTGTTGGGGTGCTTCATGATGATATTGTAATGTCAGTTCATCTAAATTTAATTGCTGATATTCATCATATGTTAATAAATCACTTAATATTTATTTAGCTTCTGTGCAAGCAAATCATCCAAGATTATCGTCCACTTATAGCTGTATTGATGTTATTGATTGAGGATAATCAGATTATGAGAAAGCCTTGAAATTTTATCAATTAGCTTTGGATTGTCAAATAAATTCTGATCTCTCATCAGTCGTTCTCTATACAACCAATGTTGTAATAATGGGTGTAAGTTGATCTTCTGTGTATATCCGCTCACACTTACATCCACCCTCACTATCTTCAATCGCTATATATAAGCATTTTACGTAAGCTCTCTTGTTGATGCTTGAAAACAA